CCTGAGATCAGGACCTGAGCTGAAATCAAGAGTCAGCGCTTAGCTGACTGAGCCACCCGGGTGCCCACTGTTGTTATTTAAAGCAGGGGTGTCGGGCGCCTGGGTGGCTCAGTTGGTTAGGCGACTGCCTTCGGCTCAGGTCATGATCCCGGAGTCCCGGGATCGAGTCCCACATCAGGCTCCCTGCTCAGCGAGGAGCCTGCTTCTCCCTCTGACCCTCCCCCCTCTCATGTACTCTCTCTCTCTCATTCTCGCTCTCTCAAATAAATAAATAAGTCTTTAAAAAAAAAAAAGCAGGGGTGTCTAAGGATGTAGAAAGATCCCTCTGGATGTTTCAAAGAGAGTGGATAGAAACAGGAAAGAGCACATGTGTTCTAGGCACTGGGGTAACGGAAACTCTGGGTTTTTAAGGCCTAGAGGCAGTTGCTAACTTAGTAGTCAGGAAAGTCTTCCTGGAGGTGGTAACACTAGAATCATGTCTTCAAAGAGGAGTGGGAATTCTCCAGTTTGGGGAAGGAGAGGGCAAAATGTCAGCCTGAGAGAGCAGGGTCTGTGAAGGCACAGAGTCTTCACAAGAGTCTGCTTGGCTGTTGGGATGAGAAGGGTAGAGGGTAGGTGAGATTGGCGTGGTCATCAGGGGCCAGATGGAGAAGGGTCTTAAGTGCCAAGCCAAGGAGCTTGGACTTCACTCTGTGCTATGACAGGCGAAGTTTTGGAGGGTGGGCACAAGATCACATAGTTAATGAAACTCAAATCCAGGCCTTCAAATTCAGAACATGGACACTTTCTGAACTGCCAAGGTGGCCTCTCTCTTCAAGAGCAGACAACATTATCAAGGAGAGGAGGAAAAGGAGAAAAGGTGCTCCCGGCAAGAGCCAAGACAGAAATGAGGTGCTCCTGCCATTCCCACTCCCTCCCCCACCTCCACCGTGGGAGCCTCGGGCCTGTGATGCTTCTATGGTATTAAATGGCTCCCGCTTTGCTCTGCCCCATGAAGATGTTGATCTCCCTTCCTGCCATCTGTCCCTTTCACTCAGCCTGTCCCTGGATGGCCCAATAACCATGAGTTCTCAAATTCTGCTCCATACAACTTAGAGTTTTGCAAGCTTGGCCAAGCTATTTCCTGTTAAAATCCAGATAGGAAGGCATTTCTACTAAGCAGGAAAAAAAAATAGTGATGATGTTTCTCACTTAAATTTCTCTTCTGGGGCCTATCCTCCTCCCCTATTCATGTTTGGGAACCCAGCTCAGATATCACCCTCCTCTGGTACTACACTTAATCATTCTGTCTTCTCTGATGCCTTTGGAGCTAGTACATTTTCCTCCTGGTGGGCTGGTGATAATATTGTGTAGCTGTCTGTTTCCATGGCTATCTTCCCCATCAGCCATTGAGGCAGGCTGGACCATATCAGAATCATCATTGTCCCCCTGGCATACACTAGATAAATATATTTATTTATATTGTACAATAAATATATTGTATAAATACAATAAATATATTTATTTTTCTTAAACCTTCTGGTGACTTTTATTACTTGTCTATGCTAGAATCTGATATGAGATGGATGCTATTGATTTTAGCTATCAGTGTATTTTCAGTTTATTCTCAGTCCACTATGAGTTTTTTGTGTTTCTGAAAGAGCACAGTTATTTCCAGGTGGTGTATCTATATAAGTGGGAGACCCACGGGCACACACAAATGCACACACAGTTAGCAGAGTGCCTGAAAGGGTAAGGGACTCACTCCTGGATATCCTGTACTCCTCTTCCCAATAATAAGCTCAAAGAAGCTTTTTGTGGGTATTTAGAATACTCATTAATGTTTTGTTCATTCCTCAAACTATTGATCACCTACTATCTACAAAACACATTTTTTTTCAAGATTGTATTTATTTATTTGACAGAGAGAGAGTGAGAGAGCACAAGCAGGGGGAGCAGCAGAGGGAGAGGGAGAAGCAGATTCCCGACTGAGCAGGGAGCCCGATGCAGGGCTTGATCCCAGGACCCTGGGATCATGACCTGAGCTGAAGTCAGACGTTTAACCGACTGAACCACCCAGGCACCGCAACAAAACACATTTTAGGGATTAGGAATATAGTAGTTAATAGGACAGACCAAAAAAAAAAAGAGACAATAGTTCTTTTTTTTTAAAAGATTTATTTATTTTTTATTTTGAGAGAGTGAGAATGAGAGAGAGAGTACATGAGAGGGGGAGGGTCAGAGGGAGAAGCAGACTCCCTGCTGAGCAGGGAGCCCAATGCGGGACTCGATCTCGGGACTCCAGGATCATGGCCTGAGCCGAAGGCAGCCGCTCAACCAACTGAGCCACCCAGGCGCCCAAGACAATAGTTCTTGAACTTACATTCTTGTAGGGGGAAAAAGACTAATAACGAAAATGTATAATATGAAGCATATAGTACATTAGATGGTGGTAACTGGGGAGAGGGATAGAGAATGTGGCGGTGAAGGGAGGGCGGGGGAGTGGGAGGGATTGTGCAACTTTAATTCAAATGATCAGGAGGCCTCACTGAGAAAGTGGCATTTGAGCAAAGACCTGAAGAAAGAGAGCAAACAATGGGGAGAACTAGTAGAAGAGCGACATTCCAGATAGAGGAAATAGCAAGTCCACAGGCCCTGTGGCAGGAGCATGCAGGTGTGTCTGGAGAACAGCAAAGGGGCTAGTGTGGCTGGAGTGGAACAGATGAGGGGAAGAGTAGCAGGGGATGACGCTAGAGAGGTAATGGGATGGGAGCAGGCCAATACTGTAGGGCCTTACAAGCCATTGTAAAGACACTGGCTTGGAATCTGAGATGTTAAGTCATTAAAGAGTTTTAAGCAGGTGGGGTGCCTGGGTGGCTCAGTCCATTGAGCATCCGACTCTTGATTTTGGCTCAGGTCATGATTTCAGAGTCGTGGTGATGTAGTTTTTGAATGTTGGTGAGGTCCGGAGCCAATGGCCAAGAAAGAATTCTTGAGACATCTTTGGTGCAAAAAAGGTGGTTTTATTAAAAACCCGGGACAGGACTCAGTGGGCAGAAAGAGCTGCTGCCCTGGGATTCTGAGGATTGACTAATTACACACAGGGAAAAGGGAGGTTTTCAAAAGAACTTTTGTGGCTCAGATGGTTAAGCCTCTACCTTCCACTCGGGTCATAATCCCAGGGTCCTGGGATCGAGCCCGCATCAGGCTCCCTGCTCAGCAGGAAGCCTGCTTCTCCCTCTCCCTCCTCTACTGTTCACCCTGCTTGTGCTCTCTCCCTCTCTCTGTCAAATAAATAAATAAAATTAAAAAAAAAAAAGAACTTTTGTATGCTAAAGAGGACCTACAAAATACTAGAGGCCTTGTCATTGTCAAGTTAAGGTGGTTTTTCCCTCTAGTAAAGCATTAACATTAAGATAGTTGGGAGTTTCCTTCTGGAAGTTCGGTTATTGGTAACAATGCTTATTTTCTTGTAAATCCCTAAGACGTTTGTAAATGAGGGAGACTCCTGGTTTACTGGACTGTGATCTCTATCAGTTAACCATTTGTTTTTCCTTCCCTTAGCTTTAGGGCAGCCAGGAGTGCCTGAGGAATGTCACGTATAGCCCCCCTGGGAGTGGGGGGATTGTGGAGTGTCAGCTGTGTTTTGCCCTCAGCTTGCCTTCTGCTCCCTCATCAGTGGGACTGAGCCCAGCACGAAGCTCTGTGCTCGGCTTGGAGTCCGCTTGTCCCGCTCCCTCTGCTCCTCCCCCGCTCGTGCTTTCTCTCTAGCGCGTGTGCAGGCACATGGGCGCACGCGGTTTCTCACTCTCAAATAAATAAGTAAAGTCTTTAAAAAAAAATGAAAAAAGACAAAAAAGAATTTTAAGCAGGGGAATGGCATTTCTAATTCATATTTTAACAGAATCACTCTGACTGCAGCACTGAAGTAAGGAGGCCAGTCAGGAGGCTATTGCAATAATCCATGTGAAGGAAAACGCAGGCTTAGACTAAAGTGATGGCAGTGGAGGTGGTGCAGAGTGGTCAGATTCTAAATATATTTTGAAAGTGGAGGCAAAAGGATTTCCTGATAGTTCGATGTAGGGTATGAAAGAAAGAGAAGAGTCGTGGATGACTTTTTAAGGTTTTGCCCAGAGCAACTGGAAAAATTAAGTTTTGCCATTAATTGAGATGAAGATGCCTACAGTGGCAACTGGTTTGGGATGGAAAATCAAGAGCTCAGTTCTGGAGTTGCTTCTTAGTAGTGGTATGCTGGTAAATGTTTGACAACTGGTTCTCCAAGGAAAAAAGGTGTGTGTGTGTGTGTGTGTGTGTGTGTGTGTGTATGCCTATATAAATTTATTATAAATGGACATATAGCACACAATTCACAAATAATAAAATTAGTAGTTCTCCATCTGTGGGAGATAGGTTCCAAGACCCACAGCAGATGTCTGAATCCAAGGGTAGTACTGAACCCTATATAAAACTATGTTTTGGGGGGCACCTGGGTAGCTCAGTTGGTTAAACGGCTGCCTTCGGCTCAGGTCATGACCCTGGGGTCCTGGGATCGAGCCCCACATCCGGCTCCCTGCTCAGCGGAGAGCCTGCTTCTCCCTCTCCCTCTGCCTGCCACTCTGCCTGCTTGTGCTCTCTCTCTCTCTCTGTCAAATAAAGAAAATCTTTAAAAACAAAAAACTATGCTTTGGTATGCCTGGGTGGCTCAGCTGTTTAAGCGTCTGAATCTTGATTTCGGCTCAGGTCATGATCTCAGGGTCATGGGATTGAGCCATGTTAGACTCCATGCTCAGTGGGGAGTCAGCTTCTCTTCCTTTCCCTCTGCCCCCCTAAAAAAACAAAACAAAATGTTTTTTCCTATACATACATACCTGAGTTTAATTTATAAATAGGTGCAGTAAGAGATTAACAAGTACAAATAATAAAATAGAACAATTATAACAATATAGTATAAAAGTTGTGGACTCTGACCCCGGCTCCGCCCTCGAGCCCTCGCTCGAGGTTGTGGCGTCGGCTGGTTCCAGGCTTTCGAGCTCCAGACAGGATGATCGAGGTTGTTTGCAACACCCGTCTAGGGAAGAAGGTCCGCGTTAAGTACAACACTGATGACACCATCGGGGACCTTAAGAAGCTGATCACAGCCCAAACTGGCACCTGTGGGAACAAGATCGTCCTGAAGAAGTGGTACACGATTTTTAAGGACCATGTGTCTCTGGGGGACTATGAAATCCATGATGGGATGAACCTGGAGCTTTATTACCAATAGAGCAGAATTCCTTCCCCCTGTCAAGTGCCCTGCCTTACCCTCCCCTCTCCTCTTCCCTTCTTCCCCCATCCCTTCCTCTCCCACCCTCACCCCCACACTGGTATGGATGCTTGTTTTTAAAAACTCATGTTAATAAAATCTTAGAAGTTGCAAAAAAAAAAAAAAGGTGCGTGAATGTGGTCCTCTCAAAACATCTTGTACTGTATTTGTAGTCAGGTGCAAGGGTGCAAGAGCACCTGGCTCCAGGGGTCCCAAACAGACTGAATTTGGCCACTTGTTGCTGACAAAATCCAAAGGCAGAGAGATGAATGGTGGTCAAACAAGAAAGGAGTTTATTTCAGAGAGGCCAACACCGGGAAGACAGCGGACTAGTTTGTCTCAAAGCCTGTCTCCGAAGTGTTGAAAATACTTAAAGGTTTCTATAAGGAAAATGTGGGACGGTGTGGGTGGGTACATGCAGGTGCACAATAAAGGTCAGGTTGATCATTATCTTGAGGTCAATCACCGGCAGGATCTTGCTGGCTCAGGGCAGTTCTCATTGCTTGAGGGGGTAGTTTGGGCTCCCATCAGGGGATGCTTTGCCCGCTGGGTCTTTTGCCTGAGTTAAGAGATGAGTGGGAAAGAGGAACTTCATCAGTGTGAAAGCACAGACTAAGGTCGCAATGCAGGTAGTTGACATCCTCTTTTATATTCACCCTTCTTGTGATGATGTGAGATAATAAAATGCCTATATGATGAGAGGAAGTGGGGCAAATGACTAGGCATTTATGATGTAGTGTTAGGTGACTATTGACCTCCTGATGGTACATCAGAAGGACTTTTTCCAGACTACAGTTGACCTGGATAAGTGATACTGCAGAAGGCAAAGCCTCAGGCAAGGGAGGACTTTATATAATTCTCCTTATCATAAATTCCATATGGCCAATTTATTCTCACAGAATGCCTTCATTAATTTTTGCCAAACTTGTTTGTTTGCTTGTTTATTTTTTTTAATGAATTTTTAAAGGTATTTATTTAAGGAATCTCTACACCCAACATGGGGCTCGGATTCACGACCCCAAGATCAAGAATCTTGTGCTCTACAGACTGAGCCAGCCAGGCACCACGATTTTTGCCAAATTTGTATCTATAGCCAACTAATGGTTGCAATTGCCGAACAAGTATTGTTCCAAGGTTCAGCCATAAAAAAGAATGAAATCTTGCCATTTACAATGGCATGTAATGAAAATGACCTCTTGAGTAGTATGCTAAGCAAAATAAGTCAGAGAAAGACTAATACCATATGATTTCACTCAAATGTACAATTAAAAAAAAAAAGGGACAACCCAAAAAGCTGACTCTTAACTATAGAGAACAAACAGATGGTCACCAGAGGGGAGGTGAGTGGGCAAAGGGGTGAAATAGGGAAGGGGATTAAGAGTACACTTACAGTGATGAGCACTTAGGAACATATAGAATTGGTGAATCACTATATTGTACACCTGAAACTGATATAACATTGTATGGTAATTATAGTAGAGTTAAATTAAAATTTAAAAAGTATAGTTCTAAGATGAATATTGGTTGATATTTGCTTACATTAATAGTAGGATGAAAGTAGGTGCGCCTGGGTGGATTAGTTGATTGGGCGTCCTACTCTTGGCTTTGGCTCAGGTCATGGTCTTGGGGCCGTGGGATGAAGCCCTGTGTCAGGCTCCTTACTTGGCACTGAGTATTCTTGGGATTCTCTCTCTCTCTCTCTCTCTCTCTCTGCTCCTCTCCCCACTTGCTCTCTCTCTTTCTCTCTCTCTCAAAAAAATAAATAGAAAAAAATAAAATCTTTAAAATAGTAGGATGAAAGTGAAACAACAAAGACTTATGTTGGAACTTCACTAGTCAATGACACAAACTACTGCTTTGTTGACTCAGATAGTTGTTTTCCAACCCTGGAAGAATAGTTCCTCAAATTTTTTATGTTACTTACAGTGTAATAGCTACAGACACAATGCAATCTAAATTTAATCTGTATTATTAATATTTTTTACATCACTTTCTTAGGTATAGGCGATCAACAAAGTAACAAGTCAAACTCTGATTGGTAGCATTTGCCAATTTCTGCAGCATAATACTCTCACCATGGCTGGTTTCAGAGCTACCAACATGGTGTCACTGAATGTGGAGTTAAGAAGAGATGTGAGAATAGCACACCATTAAATAGTATTTCCATAATACAGAGAGAATAGATGTAAATAACACCAAGAGCATAGGAAATAATAAAATATAGGAAAGTGATGAGTTTTGGGGTGCCTGAGTGGCTCAGTTGGTTGAGCATCTGACTTCAGCTCCAGTCATGATGTCGGGGTCCAGGGATCAGGCCCTGCATTGTGCTCCCCACTGGGTAGGGAGTCTGTTTCTCCCTCTCCCTCTGCCCCTCCCCCTGCTTGTGCTTTGTCTCTCAAATAAATAAATGAAATCTTAAAAAAAAAAGTGATGAGTTTTGAACATTACCTTTGTTTTTAATAGAATTTATTTAATTTTAAATTTATATAATTTAATTTTTAGTAATGGCTGTGTTTAACAAGAGGCTGGAAAATTCCTGAAAATGTAACACTTGGCTCTTGGAGCCTGGTCCAGACACTACTCCTTTCTCTATTTAGAAAGGTTGGGTATCTGAGTCTGGACTTGGAGGAGAACTCCAAGTCAGATATGTAAATTTGGAAGTGGACAGCATATGGAGTATTTAAAGCCATGATACTGGATGATGATGGAGCGTTGGTGTAGATAGACAAGAGAACCAAGAACAGTTCTTGGGACTACAACATTCAGCATCAGGGAGATGAAGACATCAGGGAAATGAGAGACTTAAAAGAGTAGCTAGAGGAAGAACAAGAACCCATAGATTGCAGTATCATGGAGGCCAAGCGACAGATTTGTTTCAAGAAGGAGTTATTTTTTATTTATTTTTTGTATTTTGTTTTTTTTTAATTTTTTAAATTCTTAATTTTTTTGTTTGCTTGTTTTACCAAGAAGGAGTTATTAACAAGTCAAATGCTGCTGATAGTGAGACTAGGACTGAGAACTGAACAGTGGATTTATCAATTTGTCCTTAGCCAATAAAGAGAATCAAACAAACAAAAATACAATATTTTCATGCCTTTTTGCCATTACTCATCCTGCTCCCTCTGCCATTTTTTCCCCCTTCCTTATCCTTACAGCAAGCTCCCATCCTGCTTCCAGGCTTTATCCGTCAGTCTCAATAGGAAACAGATGAGACACTCAGATTAGGACAATTAGACAAAGGTTTATTTACAAAGGGACTAATTTCAAACATGTTGGGGGGGTATAGAGGAAGACCAGGGAGAGTTCAGGAACCTAATGTGAGCTGTTAACGCCCCTTGACCTGAAGGAGTGGTGGGAGGGAGGAGAGATTACAGAAACTGGAAGAGCCCTGTTCATCAAGCCAATGTGAAAGGGACAGTTACCTTCAAAGAAGGTTCACAGCCAGCTCAAGGGAAACCTGCAGGAAGTACCCCGGGAATTAATTACTCAGCCCTCACATTCCTCCGTCTCACCAATCCCCTGCAAGGGTGTTGGCGCATACCTAAGTGGAAGCCAGGGAGCAAAGGAGCCAAATGACTTAGTCTGCACAGGTTCATTGTACTGGGCAGACAGTGAATGGGCAGTGAATCTAAGGAGCCAAACAACCAAAAAAAAAAAAAAAAAAAAAGACCCAAACAGAAGGTATCCAGCACACAAACCCAACTCCAAAAACAACTTCTGAGGTTTTTCTCAACATCTTTTATTTTATTTTTGTGTAGTCTTTACACCCAGTGTGGGGCTCACCCCTCTCAATAACTTTAGGTAGCTAGGTGTGCCTATTCTAAGCTTCCCTTTAACGTAGTACTTACGCTGTATTGCCATGATCCTCAATCCTGGCTGCACCTTAGAATCGCCAGGGAGCTTTAAAAAAATACTGACGTCCAGTCCCATTCCAGACCAGTTGAATCAGAAAGTCTGGGAATAGATCCTCAACGTTAGTGCTTTTTAAAAATCCTCCAGGTGATTCTAAGGTGCAGCCAGGACCGAGAACCACTGCTGTGTTGTCACTGCCTACCTACCTGTGTTTCCTTGAGGAGTGTCTGAGTGTTTTGAGGGTAAGATCATGTCTTTAACACGCAGCATGGAACTTGATACAGGGCAGGTGCTCAGGACATGAAATTTCACGTTACAGAGTATGATGACTTCACATTTTGTGTAATTTTGTTAGGATTGTGGTATTATCTGTCACCTAGGGCATTGTTTTCAAACTGCAAATTGCAACCCATTAGTAGGTCATAGAATCAATTTAGTGGCTCAGACCAGTATAAGGGGAAAAAAAAAAGACTTGAATAGAAATATCAGAGTAGGTCCCATAGAGTAAGGGTTATGTAGTATTGTGAAACAGGTATGATCCAGATTACAACATAGACTATGTTTCTACTGTGGCTTGCATTCACAATGTTTGAAATCCACTGACCTAGGACAAGTAATCTAACTCTCTGTGTTTCTGTTTCCCTATCTTTTAAAAAAGGGGATAATAACAGTACCTCCTACTTAATGGGATTGTAAAGAAGATTAAATGAAATAATACATGTAAAGTGCTTGGTGTCTAGCACAGAGTAAATAATCAATAGTAGCTGTTTTATTGTTCAACAACAAAAACACTTTTTTTTTAAAGATTTTATTTATTTATTTGAGAGAGAGAATGAGAGAGAGAGAGAGAGAACATGAGACGGGGGAGGGTCAGAGGAAGAAGCAGACTCCCCGCTGAGCAGGGAGTCCGATGTGGGACTCGATCCCGGGACTCCAGGATCATGACCTGAGCCGAAGGCAGTTGCTTAACCAACTGAGCCACCCAGGCGCCCAACAAAAACACTTTTTAAAAGCAGAATATAAAATTGTATTTATCCTGCAATTACTGTTGTATAATATTAGGCATACAGATAAATAAGAGTTTTTGTTTTAGATCAGTTATCATTGGTAAATCCTATGGCAGTAAATAACCTTTTACAAACAGGAAGCTATGTACCCAACCTCTTTCCTTTTTTTGAGGTCAGGAATGTTGT